ACGTATATCGACCATACGTGTCTCCAATGGCGTTGAGGACGGAGTTTGTGGTTCCGCCTGTACCAGCTCCGATCTCAAGGATGTTGAGACGGGGATATCGGTGAGACAGGTTCTGGAAGAGCTCTGCGACGATTCTGTTGAGAGGCTGCATGGCTCGGCCGTCGGTGTAGAGGTTGCTCAACATGTTATCGACAAGCATTACCTCCAAGAGTTGAGTGTCGGATGTCATGACTCCAACGAGGTTCCCGGCCACTGCATGAATGAGCTTGAGGTCAGCTTGTTCGGGATACTTGTCCTTGTATCCCTGGATCAGGTCTTCGGTATCATCGAACCACTCCTTCTGCGCAGTTGGGTGCTTGCCATCTCTCGTCTCCTGGAGGACCTCCTTCGCAGCTTTGTAGAAGGCTTGATGGAACCACTTCCAGTCCTGTACATCTGCTTCCGACAGATTATCAAAGGTTTTCCTGATGAAGTAGAAAGACGTGCGGTCGATGGCTTCAGCGAGTGCAAGTTCTTGCTCATCAGGATTAATTTCGTCAAGATTTTCGGAAGAGTCCAAGATATCAGCGCGCCAGATTGTCTTGGAGAACATGTGCCGGTCATCAGAGGAGCTTGCCTCGGTGAAGAGCTTCAAGGTAAGACCTTCAGCCTGCAAACCAGTCTTACCATCGGGGCTTATAATGTGTACATCTCCTCTGAACGTGTTGGACGTTGTCTCAGTAATGAAAGTGTCAACGTCGAAGTTGATCTCGCCTGGTACTCCCTCGTAGTTGGTGTTTGGAGTAATAGCCAGCCTATCAATCCCAACAGGTAGGTAGGGTGCCCAAAGAGCCCCGCTAAGAGGTGTACACATGGCGGCAATGATGGAGTGGAAAGCGACATCTAGAGGTCCTGGGTGCATGACATACTGGTTGCCCACTTCAGACTTGTCCCAGGTTGCCTTTGTCGTAGCATATCCCATGGTTCGCTGAACAGACTTGAGACCTCTGAAGAGCCCTTGATAGTTGAGGCCAATGTTGAGAAGTGAGTCGTAGTACTCCTGGGTGTCGACAGGTGTGATACCCGACTTCCCAGGTGCTCGTGGTGGAAGATCATAGTCCGAAGGCTCACCAAAGTCAATGGTGATCAGACCAGTACAGTTCCTCTCCAAAGTTCCTTCAGCTTCGGCAGGACAGGTATGGCAAGAGAACTCTCCGTAAAAGACGTCCTCATCAACATGGCCACCAATCTTCTTGACTGAGAAGATAGACTCAATGCCAGGGTTGTTCTCCTCAATAGTCAAAGCCCGAGGAATAACAAGGTCGCGGATCTCTACCAGCTTGACGGGTCGTGAGCCGGCTATCTCCATGGCGGCTTGGATAGCCATGGCCATGTATCCAGATGTCGGGAAGAGAGCCATGCCTTGGAAAGCATGGCCGCGAATCCAGGGAAGTTCGTTGAGACGTAGGATGTTGCGCCAACGGATCTCAAACTCCGAGTCATCTGGAGCGCGTCGACCCAGAAGTTCGTGTGGAGCTTTGTCAGCAAGTCGATAACGACGGGAGATGCGGGACTCTTTCCAGTGGACCTTGCTGTGGTTCCACGTATAGGAGGGAAGCCCCTTGATCATCTTTGGCTTCTCTGCTTCAGACCCATAAATAGCTTTGCGGTATCCAGCAAAGTCAACATGAGATCCGAGATATGCCCAGACGTAGCCGATTCCGCCCGAGAATGCTTCGACATCATCATAACCACGTCTCAAGAAAGTGGCATATGGAAGAACGTGACCCAGGGCTGTCTTCATAGTCTGTGAAGCAGGTCCTTTCAAAGCCGGGTGAGGTCCAATCTCAAGCGAGAGGTTGAAGGGACCAGCCCTCCAAAGCGAGCACTCCAGTGCCTCAGAGAACAGAACAGGTCGAACCATATTGTCGATCCAGTACTGCCCAGCCAAAGCCGAAAGATCATCCTCGTCATCAAGCATATCTGCGTTTCCGTAGACCGATGAGACCCAGATACAGTTGCTGGAAGGAGTGTTGACAGTAATGTTGCATGCCTTGAGTGACTCAAGATAAGGCTGTGCACAAGCTCTCATATGATGTGAGTGATATGCTGTATCAACCTTGAGAAGACGAGCAAAGGTCTTCTGCTCCTCGAGAAGTTCCTTCGCTTCCAAAATAGCATCTTCGTCGCCGGAAATAGTAGCACTGGACGGAGAATTGCTCGCAGCAAGACTTATTCGTCCCTTGAACTGTTCCTGGTCACAGAAGGCTGTCGCATCTTCAGAACCCATACCTACAGCCATCATGGAGCCTTTAGCGCCAGATGGTCCAGAGGCGTGCTTGGCGTAGAGACCTCGGTAGTAGGCAATGCGCATGGCATCAGTGGCTGAGAGTAGACCAGTAGCGTAAACAGCAGAAATCTCGCCTGACGAGTGACCGACGACAGCATCAAAGTGAACTCCCGCAGACGCCAGGACGTCCACAATAGCGATTTGCGTCGCTGTGCAAAGGGGTTGAGAAATCGCAGCTTCACCGATACGCGACATCTCATCAGAAGCCATCAACTCATCCATGAGAGTCCACGTTGGAGCATCAGGAATGTCACGCAAAGCATCCTGACATTTCTGTATGGAATCCCTAAACTGGGAAGACGTCTCGATCATGGTTTTACCCATGGACGCCCACTGCGCTCCTTGACCGGTGAAGATCCCAAGAATAGCCGGTGTTTCCGACGATGAACCTGGCGCTTGGATGCCAATCTCAGCACCAGTCTTGGAGGTCTCAACAGCGGAGTCGAGGAACTCGAGAAGCTTATCCCGGCTCTCGCCGGAGAAGAAAGCCCGTCGACCGAAGACGCTTCGGCGAGTTTGGGTAACGAATGCCACATCTTCCAGGTTGACACCTGGATTGGACCGGATGAAGTCGGCGTACTTCCCAACTGTTGCCGCGAGAGACGACTCAGTCTCGGCAGAGATGACTAGAGGGCCAACGAACTTCTCAGACACTGTCGTTTTGCATGGTTCATCTGGCTGGTAGTTCTCAACAATGGCGTGGACGTTGGTTCCTCCAAAGCCGAAGCTGTTTAGACTGACCCGTCGTGGGCCGTCAGAGACCTTCGGCCAAGGCATAGCTGCAGTAGGAACTTGGAGTCGATCGTAGAAGGGCTTGATGGACGGGTTCAGTGTGTTGAAGAGTAGATTGGGCGGAATGATGGCATTCTGCACCGCCAAAGATGCCTTGAGCAGGCCTGCAAGGCCAGCGCATCCTTCAGTATGACCGATCACAGTCTTGATGGAGCCACAATAAAGCTTTTCAGCGTCCTCAGATGATGTTTCATAGTCAGCAAAGAATGACTGGCGGATAGCGCGAGCCTCAACCGGGTCACCAGCAAGGGTACCCGTACCGTGAGCCTCAAAATACAGCGGTCGGTCTTTAATAGGATCCAGCCCGGCATTTTGATACGTTCGACGGATCAAGGCTGACTGTGCCGCTGCAGATGGCATAGTGATACCAGTGGTACGCCCATCGCTGTTCATACCCGTCTCACGCACGATACACTCAATGTGATCGCCGCATCGAATAGCTTCCGAAAGAGGCTTGAGAATGACAGATGCGACGCCCTCACCACGAGCATAGCCATCAGCTCCAGCATCCCACATTCGACTGCGTGATGTAGGACTCAGCATGTGAAGCTTTGACTCAGCGACGTAACCTGCTGCATCGAAGATGAGATTCACTCCAACGGCTATAGCAGTGGTTGATTCGCCGCTGCGCAGTGACTGCGTGGCAAAATGTAGTGCCGCGAGCGATGACGAACACGCAGTGTCCATCGTAACTGAGGGTCCGCGAAGATCGAAGTAATACGACACTCGGTTTGAGAGAATACTCTTCGATGTCCCCGTCGGATGATATCGATTGATGATTTCAGGATCCCTCGACTGAATATCATGATAGTCACCCGTCATAACCCCCAAATAGACCGACGTCAACGATCCCTGCATTTCCTCAATAGTATAACCCGCAGCCTCGAGCGATTCGTAAACCGTCTCAAGCGTCAATCTCTGCTGCGGATCCATACCATCAGCCTCAGCAGGGTTGACATTGAAGAACGACGCGTCGAACAAGCGACTGTCTTCTTCAAGAAGGTAGCCTTTGTTGCAGACGTCTGTGGCGCCGTGATGCTCGCCATCTTTGTTGTAGAAGGCTTCAAGGTTGAGACGGTCTTTTGGGAAATCGCGAAGGCAGTCTTTGGGAGATTGGAGAAGAGACCAGAGTTTAGAGGGGGATGAGGCGCCGCCGGGGAAGCGACAGGCTGAGCCGATTACGGCGATGGGCTCGCCTGGGGATGGCATGGTGATTGTTAGGATGGGTAATGAGTGTAGTGCCGTGCTGTTGAAGACAAAATGTATGTCCAAATGTTGAAGGGTTGCTCAGTACGACAGATTACTTGCTGTTTGTCCAAGGTTACGGTTGCTTCATTCGACGGATGTCATTCATCTTAACTCAAACCACTATCAGTGTAGAGCCGTATTGTGAATTTCGTATTCCATCTTCGATCAGATCGAACCGGCATCAGCTCCCGCGCCGCCCCAGACCTTGCGGCACCGGCCAAACATGCTTGTGCTTACATCGACTGCCGTCGGTATTGTGGAGCATATTCCGGAGGCGGCCGTTGGCCAACCGGAATGGGTCAATATCCCGAGCAAGGGTATGGATCCTCCTACGGGGCAGTATCTGGGGAATGCGGAGAAGTTCCTCTAGTAGATGCCGGCTTACGGTGTTGATTGCTCGGAGCAAGGCTGTTGGGTCTTACGCAGTACCAAGGGGACAGGTTGTGTCGTGGCAAATGAATGCGACCGTTCTTGATCAAAACAGTCTTCGCTGGCTGACGAGTAAGTACGCTCAGAGAAGCGACGTCTCCTCTAGTTGATTCATTTTCCGTCCCAAATCTGTTCAAGTCATCTCGCTGTGGCATTGTTCCCTCGCTCGTCACTGTCGTTGTCGTTGTCGGCTACCTTCATCATGGCAGTCCAATCAATCATCTCCCGTCAAGCCATACCAGCTACTCAAAAAGCCCTCAAAGTTCAAGGTGCAGGAACAGTCACCCTCCAAGAAAACAGCCCCGTCGAGCCCCCAAAAGAAGATGAAGTCCTCGTCAGAATCTTTTGCGTTGGCGTCAATCCCCATGACTGGAAATCCCTAGACATGTCAGCATCCCCCGGCGCAACGTGGGGTTGCGATTTTGCAGGTGAAGTCGTCACTGCGGGACCTCTCACAAACAAGTTCAAACCTGGTGATCGCGTTGGTGGTGCTTGTGCGGGTAACCGATCTGATAATCCGAATAACGGAGGTTTCGCAGAGTATGTCAGTGTTCCGGAGATGTTGCTCCTCAGACTTCCGGATTGGATGAGTTTTGAGCAGGGCGCGACATTGGGTGTTGGTTTACTGACTGTCGGGTTGTCTTTGTACCATACTATGAAGCTTCCACTTCCTTACTCGGGTGAAGCAAGAGACCAGTACATATTGATCTACGGTGGTGGAACGGCTACCGGAGGTTTGGCCATCCAGGCCGCCAAACTGTAAGTTCATCGTCCTTACTCCGTGAGCCTAAGCTGATGATATTCAGATCTGGCTTGAAGCCCATCACAACCTGTTCACCAGGAAAGTTTGAGCACGTCAAGTCTCTAGGCGCCGTTGGAGCCTTCGACTACCGCTCTCCCTCCTGCGCCTCAGACATCCGCACCTTTACACAAGATAGTCTGGAGTACGTTTTCGACTGCATCACCGAGAGCAGCAGTATGAAAATCTGCTACGCTGCCATCGGTGGTCACGGAGGTAACTACATCGGTCTAGACCAATTTCCGATTCGCGGCCATACGCGTCGCGATGTTCGTCCTGGCTGGGTTCTCGCGTGGACAGCGCTGGGTAAGCCTGTTGATTGGAGAAAGCCATATCGCAGAGAAGCAAGACCCAAGGATAAGGCGTTTGCGGAGAGATGGGCGCCTATCGCACAGAAGTTGTTGGACAACAAGGATATTGTGACGCATCCTACTGAGGTTAGTGATGAGGGCCTCGCTGGGGTCGCGAAGGGAGCGGAGAGGGTTAAGATGGGTACAGCTGGTGGTAAGAAGCTGATATACCGTGTTGCTACGCCCTCAACATCTTGATTTACGCGTATTTATGATAGCTATTTAGTTTTTTAACAATTTCTTTATCGATCTCGACTCGGTTCAGATTGGCAGTTTGTCTGGGACGCGTCGCGCTGTTTCAAACCGCAAGACGGCATAGAGTCAAAAATCATACCTATTTTTAGCAACCCCTCATCTCAGCACTCGTGTTTAACATCACTTGCCTCTCAGAACGAACTAGATTAAATATATACAAATAATGTCAATGGAGGCTTCTACATGAATAATTGACATTTTTCGGCTTTTGGATCATTTGAGCACCTTGACAGAAGGAGGCCGTTGGTTTTCCAGATCAAATGGCTTTTAGATCATGAAAATGTAATTTTACCACCAACGTCGGCCGTGTGCAACCAGCGCACGCTGGAGTACCTCCTAGACATGGTAAACCTCAATGCTACAGATCAATTGAAGACTCAACAGCTCAAATACTGAAATCAATTCTTCTTGTTGACACTGGTTTAGCCCTACGCCCTTCACAGCTGCTTTCCCTTTCATTTGTTTTTAGCTACCCTATACTCTGTGAATGACGTCAGTGTACCGCTCAGCAAACACAAAAGCAGCCGATTCAAAGGTGCCTCAAAACCTATCGGATACTCCTTAATTGATACTTCCGCAGGTCTGTATGCTTCGCCGTGCGCCAGTAGCCTATCTCTGTCCGCCTGCAGCCTGTCACACGCGTTACAGGCACAGGGGGTAAATTTCCGTGGAGAATCTCCGGGCTCGGCCCCGGAACAGCGAAGTGGCGTCCGGGAACAAGAAAACATCGGACCTTAATACATGGCGTCAGAATAGACTGATTAAAGGTGTCCCAAACTCGGGCTAAATTTGTCCTATGCTTATGCTAGGTTACCTAAACCTTTTTGTCGCTTAGGATCAAGGTCCTGAGTTTTCCTTTCCCCTAATACACTCACCCCGGTCTCACCTTATAGACCGGGTTTTTGGCAGACCTCTGATCCGCTGTCCGGATGTCTCATACCATTTGTGTTGCTAATTGTAATTTCTTTCTTTCTCAACACCAACCATTCATACATCCAAACGCCTTTCATTCTTCACTCATACCAATGACGTTTGGCTGCCCTTACGTCGTCGCCATCCCTCTACGCACTGAAGTCCCCAACACTGTCCATCATGTCATCTCGTCTCTCCGCGATTTCACTCGTAGCATTCTACGGTCTTGTAATCTTCTACTTCCTAAACAGACTATGGGACCATATCAGCTACTCAATCAAGACGAAGAAGTACAAATGCGGACCTCTCAAGACTTATCCCCACTGGGATCCCATCTGGGGCATTGACTTTGTTCTCTCCATGAGCCGTGCTTTCAAAGAGCATCGGTGGTTATCATGGATGGAAGAGACATGGGCCGCGCAAGGAACCAAGACCTTTAAGGCCAGATTTCTGGGAATGAGGATGGTGTATTCGTCTGAGATGGAGAATATGAAGGCGATGAGTACGTCGCAGTGGGAGGAGTTTGTGCTTGAGCCAATTCGTGTGGATAATGGCGTCGCGACGCCGTTTACTGGGAAGGGCGTTAGTACGGCGGATGGCGAGTTCTGGCATTATAGCCGGGGTATCATCAAGCCGTATTTCGAGAGGCAGGCATTTGCCAATGTCGCGAGATTGAAACCATTTACCGATAAGATGTTGGACCTCATTCCCACCAACGGCGACACCTTTGACATGCAGGTTCTGACAAGGCGATGGGTAAGTAACATCCAATCAACGCGAACGCAGCTGACTTGGTATCGACAGTTTCTTGACACGTCAACCGAGTTTCTTTTTGGAAAGTCTCGCGACTGTCTCACCTATCCTGAGCGCGAGGATGTAATGCTCGCCATGGTAGACATCATGCGCGGCGCACGGGTCCGTCTCACCATGAGTAAATTCATGTTTCTCCACCGAGACCCAAAATGGTATGAGAGCATTCGCTTCGTGCACAACTTTATGAATGAGTACATCCATAAAGCCTACGATGAACTGCACCAGAGACAAGAGAAAGGTGAGAAGTTTGCTGACAAGCCTGAGCGAACCGACTTGCTCTGGGACATGGTGCAGAAGATCCCCTCTGAGGATAGAATTCTCCTCAGAGACCAGATCACTGCTGTTTGGGTACCGAGTAATGAGACTACGAGTATTCATATCTCAAATGCTATTTATCAGCTGGCGAGACATCCAGATGCTTGGGAGAAATTGCAGAAGGAGGTTCTTGAGCTTGGCGATGAAGAGCTTACGTTCTCCAAGCTTCGCGGGATGAAGTACATGAATTGGGTTATCAACGAGAGTGAGTAAATTCAACCTATTACAAGCCACTCACTAATCGTTACAGCACACCGAACTATTCCAAATGGTATCCAAATGATCCGTGTCGCAGCCCATGACACAACCCTTCCCCGTGGCGGAGGTCCAGACGGAAAACAGCCCATCTTCTGCGCCAAGGGCGACATTGTCCACTGTAATCGCTATCTCATGCATCGCGACCCTGACTACTGGGGTGAAGATGCAGCTGAGTTCAGACCAGAACGATGGGATGGTCTTCGTCCGCTTTGGCATTTCGTCCCATTTGGTGGCGGACCTAGAATCTGCCCTGCTCATATTCTTGTCGCTACTGAGACAGCTTATGTCTTGACAAGGTTTTGCCAGAAGTTTAAGGGGATTGAGGCGAGGGATGAGAGGGGCTATGTTCCTGTTATGAGAGTTGGGCCTAGTAGCTTGAATGGCGTTAGAATTGCTGTTACGCCGAGGTAAAGCTGAAAGGGACAAGTTTGGGTGATGACTCCCTGAGAAAATGTGTTATTGATCATCAAGAGAATCTACACTCAAGCTTGACTTGGATAGTTACACCATGGCAGCCATACTCAATCGGTTCTGAATGCTTCGTCAATAGAAGACGAAAGTGATTCAAAGGACATAGCTCTACTTTTGACCCGATATCTCATTAAACACTTGTTGGATATGCTCCAAAACCCTGAGAGGCCATCCTTCTCTCTCCAGAGGCCCCAGCACTTTGCCATCCGTAACTGTGCTCCCGTCACTCAAGACACGATAAAAACCACTACACGACCCATGGCAGGCTGCTTGATCAGTGACGTCTACAACTGCAGAACACATCATTTCTCTGCTTGGATATCTCCCGCTCAAAGCATACCCAGCCTGCCGTCGTCCGCATTCTTCCTCAGACATAGCTACTAATCGGTAAATAGGCAAAACAATCTTCCCAGCTAGCACACCAACTGCCCCAGCACTCTGCAGCAAATCAGACAGAAAGGTAGTCGCCACCCAGCCAGGATGGACATGCATCCAAGAAACTTTTGGGTAATGAGACGCGAAGTGGATGAAAGCAAGACTGTGCAGTGTAGTGACCTGATTTACCGCCCTTGGCGCTGTATAGTTGCACTTCTTCCGTAGTCCAATATCCCCGTCATTGGTGAAGAGTGGACCTTCATGACCCCCGGCTAAGACGGAGAGAACTCGTGGGTGGGGTGCTTGCATGAGCATGGGGAGTAAGCGTTCGATAAGACGTATGCGGATGTAGAAAGACAGAGCAAAACAAAGATCAAGCCTCTCCTCAGTATCTGTGGATGAAGTCAGCAGGAATAAACTCCACAGAACGGGTGACTTACAGTGCGGTCCACCAAACGCCAAAGATCCTGGACTCATAAACAATAAATCCACACGTTTTTCCAATTTCATAATCCCCTCACAAGCATCATCAATACCTTTGATAAGCGAAGCCTCAGCTTCGACGAATTGGATCGTAGCATTGGGGTTGTATTCGCTTAGCAGAGCGAGTTCGCCCGCACACCTCGCTTTCGACCGACCAATAACGTAGAATCGCGGATTAGGCAAAGTCCGGATAAGAACCTTGAGAGTAGCGAGACCAATGCCCCTCGTTGCACCTACGAAAACTGCCACGAAGGATTGGGGAGCGGGGTGTGATGACGACATTCTGTGCTGACAGGTGCTTATCGTCTGATACGAACAGCTATTCTAACTATGCTTGTGAACTGAAAATCTTCCGCCTTTTTACAGGTGAAGGGGAGTGCGACGCGAGACCGAAGTGCATGGCGAGATACCCGGGGTATCGTTTTCCAAGACGTGGTCTGCAACGGGTACTATACCCGATTGATGAAGGATTCTCCGGCAGATGCATGTCTGCACGACCGGCCCGGGCGGCACGGAGAATTAGAGTCTGTTGAGCACGGGTGAGTGCCGTTGGTGCGACGTTCGCGGTGCCTACTATCCTAATAGCCAATGCTCATGTCAAAGACAAGCGGTAGTGCTACCAGTATAGCTTAGAAATTGATCTTGTTGACTGGATGAACTGGCTCTGCGACATCATTGCTTCTGTATCACTTGGAAGTTTGAACTGACTAAGATGGCGAACCTCACAAACCTTAGCATGAATCAGCTCAACATAAACCGGCAGTGCGTCGCCTTCACCTGGCAGACAGCTTCCCCAGCCTCACGAGTAATTGTCACCCTCAGCACCCTTTCACTCACAGCCCTTCTCATCTCAATCATCTACGAACTCTACTTCTCCCCCCTCTCTAAATTCCCCGGCCGAAAACTCTGCGCCATCTCCCGCATTCCCCATCTCATAGCAACAGCCAGCGGCCGCCAACTCCCCTGGCTCATCGATCTCCACAACAAATACGGCGGCGTTGTTCGCATTGCCCCAGACGCTCTCACATTCACTGATGAGCGCGCCTGGGCTGATATCTGTGGTGCATCCAAGGCTGCAAAAGATGGAATGGCGAAAGATCCGCGTCTTGCGGCTTTGGTCGGCGGTGATTTGGTGAATCCTGATCCTGCGAAGCCGAGATCGCAGCAGACTCATAGTATTATGAGAAAAGCGATGGTACCGGCGCTGAAGCGGGAGAATGTAAAGAAACTTGAGGGTATGATCAATGGGCATATCGAAGAGTATCTCTCGGCTTTACAGAAAGCCAGTGAAAGGAAAGAAGCTGTTGATATGCGAG